CTTAACGAGTTTAGAATGAAACAAAAATAAAATGAAATATAATATAAACTAGGGTCGAGATACTCTAATCGTTAATACATCAGGGAATAACCATCCGAGGCAGAAGTCAAAGAGGAAATTTCGTCAACTTTCCCCAGTTTCAGGGATTTCCGCGAGTTCCGGGACATCCAGTACAAGTTCCAGGGACCCGGGGTTTCTGCCCGGAGTCGGAAACGTCATCTTCCCGAGGTGCATTCGTACTTTTCCGGTCTCTCTGGAGCGACCCGGATTTCTGAGATCGCGGAACGACCCAGTTTTTCCACGCGAACGGTTCCCAGGTCTTCCCGGGGTATGCGCCAAGGGATAAACCGTGTCCAACCGAGTCTCCAGCTGGACCCCCAATCGCGCTCCCGCGATAAGGGTCGTTCCGCTTCGCGATACCCCACTATGGACGCCGGTCGGTAATTCCGAGGCGACTCGACTACCCCCGCGTACGGACGGTAGGTACCCCCACGGACCCGAACCCCGAGGTCGGTAACATCGACCGAAGGGTTGCTCCCCGGTGGGGCTGGTAAATTGCGGGAAACGAATCCGACGATTCGGGCGCAATCGCAATGCATTAAGGCGACCGCGCGGGCGCCACCGTGTGAGTTCTGTCTCCACATTTTCGTCTTTTCCGGAAAGGCAAGTTCAGTACGCGAAACGCCGTCGCGGCGAAGCGTTTTGAGCCGCGAGCCGGACGTCTATCTCCGGCGTCGGAGGGTCTTCGGGGAGAGTGTGCTCGGACCAGCGGAGAACCGCCGGAACGGAGGGAGTTTCTCGGTCGGGCGTTCTCGCCCCCTAAAAGATACGCAAACAGGGAACAAAAGCGGAGTTCGTCCTCGGTTCGGATCAGCGAGGAGCGCGACCGAGGAGGAAGGGAATTAACCGGTGGCGTGGAAATTAAGGGAGTCGGCGGATTCGAATGGAGGGCCGAGAGGGCGCCGCGCGTGGGCGCGACGAGGGCGAGGCGGCGCCGAGGCGTCCCGGGGTCCCCGGGACAGAGGATTTCCATTTGCACTTGCCAGGGGCGCGTGGTAATTAAACGGTAGCGCCGGTTTCCGCCAGCCGAGGTGTCGGCGCGCTCTTTCCCATCGGGAGTTTTTCGGCCTCGTAAAGAACCAGGCGCTCTAATGAAACTGCGCAGCCCCCGGCTGCATCGGATCCAATCTCGAAGATCCCCGGACCCGGACTCGCGATCGGCCGAAGACGGCGCGCCAGAAGGGACGCCCGGGAACGAGTTCGACCTCCTCGAGGCGCGGTCGACGTGATCGTTCCGAGTTCCCGCGGCCGCCACGAGTCTTGGCGGTCCCCGCCATCGGGGGTCGCCGCGGCGTCATGGAGGACCCTGGTCGCCTGGACCGCGCGGTCTCCCGCTAACCCGGGGCTCGGCAGGGACCAGGAAGATGAACGAACGCGGCCTGTAAGATGACACCTCTCCACGGCATGGCGCTGTTCCTGCTGAGCAGCGCGTACCTGTTACGCGCCGACACCTCCACCGCGAGGGCCACCGGACACGGCCTCGTCAGTCGGTATCTTTGAGTAGGACCCCGGCTTCGCCACCTCCCCGGGAATTCAGCAACGAATCATGATTTCAGCCGAGGCGAATCTCTCGAGGAGCTTCCTCGTTAGGGACGGGAAACGCAGGGCCGAGGGGACGTACTTTGAGAACAATACCCCACGCAATGTCACCGCCGTCGTGGGACAGTCCGCCGTGCTCTTGTGCAGTGTCAAGAACTTGGGGAATCATACCGTGAGTTCCGAGAGCTCCAGTCGCTCCAGAAAAGAGGACCTCCCCCTCTGCGGAGGGGGATGCTTCGCATACGTACGTTATCGTGCCCCTCCGAGGAGGGGAGTCGGGCCGTTTCCTCTGTTCTTCGGGCTGTCGCCGATAACGCCGATAACTGAGTTTTTACCACAAGAGGACTCCCCTCCTTGTTTCGTCACTTTTCGGGGTACTCGCGGGAAAGGGAAACCCTTTTTTAGATTTTAGCCCTGTTTTTGGGATGATCTTGGTTGTTTCGTTTAATGCTTGGAAGCGGGAAAAGTACGTTCGAGGGAGGTAATTGAAGGAATTAATGGCCGATAGGGGGTGATCGTAATTTTTTTCCGCTTGAATACGTAAAAAAGGATCATTGAAAATTTGGTGACGTTCGGTTTTCGGGCGATTCCTGGTTGATGTAGAAAGTGTAATATCTTGTTGATCGATCGAATTTGCGGATCGATCGGAAAATTAATTGTCGGTGCGAAGGAAGGCACGGAATGTCTCTTTTGATATTCGACCAGCTTCAAATTTGAACGCTTCCCTCTGTAGGAAACTACCCCGCAAATGGAGTGAAAACTGTCAGTAATTTAGCTCCTAGGGTCAGACCACAGGATTGTTTTTTCCTTTTTATTTGTGCTTCGTCCCGCAATCCTCCCATAAAATCAAGCGTGATTACAAAATTTCCCAACTACGCGAAAACTTTCAGTCGTTAATTATAGACGAAACAAAGTTTGTTAACGAGTAGTAAAAATGTTTACTCAAGGGACTTGTGCAGTTATCAGTCCAGTAATATCATATTTAACGAGTATAAAATGACGTAGCTAAATAATGAATTAATGCCAAAACTATAGATAAAGATAACCCGCGAGACTATAATAGAAAATATGTTGCTTTTAACTAACTACATGTTAAAAATAAAAATAAATATATCGTATATACAAATCTTAAATCATGATTAAGGGTCAAAGGATATGTTTGGCTAATTTAATGTACGTAACTGAACAATTATTATAAAAGAGTTCATAACAGTCCTTTACAAACTAATATGTCCTAAATATTTCGGAAGGGCAATACGGGAAATAAATATCTTAAATATTTTAACAACGTGACTTCTTGCGTCCTGTAATTTGATGTCTATTCGGCGGTGAACATCGTGACGCAAATGTAATTACCTATTTTATGTGGTCCATACATTATGCGTTATTGTTGGTAACGTACACGATATAACAACTGTGTGCAGCTACAATGCCGGCGTGTTCGCACGAATAAGCATTGTGCCCGTATACGCTTGTTTACGTCTGAATGCGCACAAGGGAATAAAACAAGGGGAATAAAAGAAAATTGTAACAATAGATCTGAAGCTACTGCTGCAACTTTCCAGTATCTCCATTGTTATATTTTTTCGGACATACGCGAGCACATACGGGAGTTTGTATGTAAGTGCAAATACTAATTCGTAATGCGCATGAAATGTGGCGCGGAAACGCGGGCGCAATTTTTTTCCATGAACGACGTTACAATAAATGTACAATATTTATCGTTTGTTTTGTCCACGAAGGATAAGTTTTTTTTCTTTTTTACGTAAAACATGTTAGACAACTTTCGTAATTAATTTATCTTTCAAATTAAATATGTGAAAATACTGACACGAAATATTGCTCGGAGAATGGATGCTTTGAAAACCGCTGCATCAAAATAGCTCAAATGTTTACTTTAAATGTATTTCAAATGGGTGTAACAAAATAAGCGTTCATTGTACATAAATCGATTAAAAAATACGTTTAAAGTATACGCGAACAGTTTATGTAATGCAAAGAAAATTAAACGCTCAGGGATTGTCTAATTCTCGGAAATATAAAATTCCAGTGAGAGTTACGATGTGACAAACGATGTAAAAAATTGATACCGATAAATTGGGAAACCAATTTCTAATGTAAAATAAAAATCAGAGTTGCAGTGCTGTGCTGTATGCCGTTTAATTACTACTTTAGATTTTTGAGTCCCTCTCGTAGAAACATTTGAGTATTTGTAATATTCATAGCGTAAAAATATGCCCGTCCACGTGGCTGGAAAGATTTTGTCTCAAACGGTGCGACGATTACCATTCGTCCATAATTCATAATTAGGATATTCATAGCTCTGGAAGATAGTCGATTATGACCGTGAAAGATTTTTATCATCCCCTTTTATAGCCAGTAACATTATATGGAGACATGCCTAGAATCTCGGCTCCTATCTTATTCTTCCTCGCAATGAGTTTCGCAAGATTGGAATCTCTACTTATAGAATCAATTGTCCCGCCCTGAAGAATTCTAGTTTCTCGGAATGAGATCCCAGAGTGATTCTATCTCTGGTCGCAGGGATCTTACAATTGTTTTAATCTCGAACCATTTAGTGACATTTGTAAAATTCACGAGACGAACCAGTGCATCGGTATTTAGCAACCATTATTTCAGATATATCTCGAGATTTATAAAATCCTCGACTGACAGGCAAAATATCGTGAACTACTTGGATTAATCATCGGACCGTGAAGCAATCAGCTAATGGCTCATATAAATTTTCAATCATCAAATAGTAATTCGTTTGACAATCCCGTTTGCCCCTGAAACGCGGATGATATTTTTCGGCAAAGTTATCAAAATCTAACCTGACATCGAGAGCTCGAAACGTCAAAACAACAACGCTCCCCGAACCGTGGATCAGCTTATTGCATAAAATTCTCCTCTACGCATTTAACTTAATTAAAAAGTAATTTATTAGAAAGTCTTCCCCATCCGATTCTTAAACAACTACCCAGGGTACAACCTGACGTCGAGTCCGATCTTAAAGGTTTTCCACCTGAACATAGTCATAACGTACACATTGCAATTAATACAGGTACTTAGGTCCAAGTAAACCCTCGGTTAAATTAGTCTCAGTCACTTTAACCCAAGGTTAGACGATAAACGATTTAGTCGACGTCAGTGGACCCGGCCGTAGAGCTAAACCACTCTCCATAAACCAAAGGAGTCAACTCCACTTATTACCAAAATGATTCTTTTTTCCGGGTGCGGAATCCCATTAAAGCCAACCGCCATTAATAACCCAAATCACCGAATAATCGGGCGCTGGTTTCAATTACGTGTACATTAAAAAGGACCCTGGCGTAACCCAATAACTCGTTGTAACTGCATCGCGGCGCTTCTTTTTGCCCCGGTCCCCGCCATTTCGGGCAGACGGTTAATTCGGCGGGAAATTCCCGCAGAGGCGAGAGAGATTGGCGTTAACCGAGTCGGCGAGTCGCATAATCCCTCGCGTTGGGTGGTGGGACGCGTTTTTCGCGAGGAAGCGAGAGCAAGTCGCGCGCTGATATATTATCGGGTCTCGGCTCGGTCGTTAGGCGGCGCCCGCCATTATGGATGGCAAGGACCAGCAGGTGAGAAAAGAGCGTCCGTGATGAGAGGGCCAATTTGTCCAGGTATCCTGGATACGGGGCCGGGATCTGCACGTGCTGACGTCGATGACTTCGACTTACACGAGCGACGCCAGATTTCGCGTGATCGGCCGACCGGAAGTGACGGGCCAGTGGAACCTCCGGATAGATTACGTGCAGCCGAGGGACGCGGGGATTTACGAGTGTCAAGTCAACAGCGAGCCTAAGATACACATGGCCGTGCACCTTAAGGTCCTGGGTGAGTGGCGACCATCTTTGCTCCTTGCGATCCAGAGGTCACCGGCTACTCTCGCGATTACGCCTCTCGATACGTCGAGCGAAGGAATCACTTCCTTGAAAAAAGATATATTTACGTCGAACGGATCTTTACGAACCACTGTCGAGAGAACCCGACCAAATGGAATTAAGACAAATTATAAACGATAGAATCTTTTGAGGCTCGACATTAAGCCCCTTTCACGCGTTTTCGTTACATTTTCTGTGCATAAAGGCGTTATAAAAGAAAATCGATTCACTTCGAACGGTGGAAGACTTTTAAAGTATCAATAATATTCTTGGAAAAACTTAGGATTTAATGGAATTGCAGCGTGTCCGATGTTTCTTCTCAAACTTCTAAACTCGCTCCCGTGAACTTGTTCTTGCATCAATTTCCAACAATTGATACGCCATTAATAATTCTTTATATCAAGTACTAGGTTGTTTGAGTTTTATACAACGGTCTATCTAAAATGTGATATAACCTTCCGTCAGTATTCTCTGTAAATGAGATCAATTTTTTTCATACAATTCTTCTTCGCAAGATCATTCCCATTTGATATTAAATTGCTATTGTTGGGTTGCGACACTTGATTCCTGCTTCGGTAAAATTGATTTCAGTCCGGAAATTCCATTAGCGAGAAACATTTCGATTGCCACAAGTAATTAATTTCGCCTGGAAAGTAAATTTTTCGCTCAGTGTAGCAGTTCGATAGGTATGAAGGGAGCTGCTTTTTGCCCGGGACTTTTTTTTTTATTTCAGTCGTCCAGGCTAGGATCTGGGGAGCCGAGGACGTCTACGTCAAGCGGGGAAGCACCATCAGCCTGACCTGCACCGTCGACGCCCAGGATGTGCCCCCCAGTAATGTCACCTGGTACCATAATGGAGCCATCATCGACTTCGACGGACCTAGGTTCGTCCTTTCATTCATCTCTGTGCGAGACTCTTAAAGCTATACCTCGATCACTTTCGAATGCAAGGGTATACCGAAGCCAGAAACAGTGACATTCGAGATGCAAATCGGACTGTATACTACATTTCGAAGCTAGGAGCTATTCACTCGGAAATCTGTGAAAACGATTTCCTTTGTTGAGAATCGATCGCCTTTGATTTCATATGATAAATAACAACGCGATTTGGTATCAAGAGACACTCGGCCTTAAGGTGAAGTGAAACACGTCGAGGAACTTGATCGACGTCGATAAAGAAGATTTTCCTAAATGCCTACGTTGCCGACGTTCGTTTTTATATCGACAGCTAGGCCGAATTAAATTGGATATTATACCAAATGGCATACTCCACCTGTCGTTTTCGTACAATATATATCAAGAAATCGAAGTAAAACTCCAGAAATCCTCTGAATTCATGCTTACTGGGGCCCTAATTCACTGCAGAGGGACCCCATGTGCCATCTGTGACTTCCAGGTCAATTAAATTTTCACTCCGAGACCTCGTATTCCCATCGTTTTAGCATAGAAGCGCATACAACACATTTTTTGCCTTTATCCCGTTGAAATGCGAGTTTATCGATTACCAGAGTGTTCTAAATTATCGTAAAATTGTCCTGACCCTATATTGTCTCATATCAGAACCTTCGATAATTGTATATTGATCGAAATATGAGAGCTCGACGCCATTTTGGCTCTGGTCTGGGATAAGTTAAAAATTTTTTCCAAAAATCCAAATTTTGAATGTATCAGGACAATTCTTAGATGATCAGGAGCGATGAGTTAAAGTTTCGGACAGTTTGGTCTAATATCCTTAAAGAAAAGTGTTATATTCGAATCGACTGATTTGAAAGGGGTTTCACTTCACCTTAACCTTTTCGCTACGGCGGACCAGCTCGTAGAAACGTTGCCTCGGTACGGGGCAATCTCAACGAACAAGGCCCTTAAACTTCACTGCCGAGAGAACGTATTTTTTAACGTTTAGGGACGTGAGGTCAATTATTAACGCTTTATTTAAATTGCTAAAAACTAATGCAAAACGGATAAAAGATAAGTTTATTTATAATGCAACTAGAAAATATAATTTAATAATGTCATTTCGTATGAAAAGTTTCAAAGCACGAGTATACCCAATGTCCTACGTTACATATCTTACATTGGTAATGCGTTTGTCCTTGCACCTCATTTTTAATACAAACAATACCCTTTCTGAATCCGCCTTTTCGTTTTGTTTTCGCGCTAGGGTGAATCGCCGGGAAGGGTCTACCAATAAGCCTAAAAGGATGTTTATCCGCAGATCTAGGAGCGCTTTGTCTACAATCGTCTTTATGGTATTTCCGTAATATTTGTTTTATTAATTCAAAATGAAAGCAGCTATAGAAATATCTTTGGGTGTTTTGTATTTATATAAATAATAAGAATTCTAAATGGCAATGTCTAACAAATGAAAAAAAAAAAACTTCTTAGCGAGCATCAGGCGTTGGGTGACTATAGTCACCGTTAGTAGCGAAAGAGTTAAAAGTGTCACAATGTTTTGGCGATTTCCAATGATTTCTAGTGATTTCGAGCATTAGAATCCATAATTTCCTGAGTGAATACCCTCTCGTTTCGAAGAGTATCAAGGGAGTGATTTGTCCAAGAGTATTGGAAATCTTGAAAAAAGCAATAAGATGATAAAAAAAGTCAGTACAGGTGTTGATAAACGGACTGCAACGTGTTTTTCTATAATTATGAACAACTGTATGTGTAAGTAATTGACAATTGGTATACAAAGAATTTTTAAAGTTAGTACACGTGTGTTCTGAAACTCGTATACTCGTGTATGACAAAATGCAATGGTAGAAGAAATTTGGAAATATTGTATGTTAAAGAAATGTATAGGGTAAAGTCCGGATAGACGCCTACGTTTTTAACATATGCTTCTAAATTCGGTATTTTCTTTTTGTTTCCAAACAATTCCATGTCCTTATCATGCCGTCATTTTTTCTTCATTATATTCTACAATTATTTGCCCAAGATCAATGGTTATTATAATAGAAGAAAAATAAAAAAGGTCTCGATTTAGGCATCTATCCCACAGGGGTGGGATAGATGCCTTTGCGTGAACGGATAGATACCCTGCGGGAGAAGAAATCAAATCATAATCAATTTGTTTGAAAAACCGTATTTTTAATCTTAGCAAAGTTAACAAAAATAGTTTTGAATGGTTAACATAGGCATATACGTTAGAACAAACATTCATTTTCTACATCTACTTTTCGAATGTAACATCTCGGCATTCTGTAATAGAATATCTTTACTTAGAGTAAATATCGTTAAATACTCCGCGTTGAATACAAAAAAACGAAAAAAAAAATACAAAATGGAATAATCTCCAAAAGGCATCTATCCGTCCTAAAAAGGAAATAGTTTAGTCATCTGTTGTCTTTAAACTAGGGCATTTATCCTTTTATGTACGGATAGATACCTTCGTACATATCCAAATAAACGTTACAAAGTGAGATTAGGACACCGTTGAAGGTCTTTAATTGTTATATTTATGATGTAGGAATGAGGTAAATATGTTAGTTTACGTGCTAGTTTTCTACTTTTATAGCAGTTGCTTCGAGTTGAGAAAAACTTTACGGGCAAATCTGATGCACTGATTTTTTTAGGCGATCATAACCCTACGCACGTGCATGTTTCATGGGTGTTGCGTCGTAAATGAAGTGCCGGGGGGAGGGCCTATGCAAGCAGGAACGTCAGGTCGCTAAAAGTTAATTTGTTTTAAAGATCTGAAAAACGTGGCATCTATCCGTACTTTACCCTATGTGTTATATTTGGAGCAGATATTTTTAATGGTGTGGCTATAACAATGTTAAGAGACATTGTGTAGGATTTTCATTTCCTACGTTTAAAAAAATACTTGTTACTTGAGGCAGTTGGGTCGAGATGGGATGTTGGTGAAGAAAAATCACCAAATTAGAGGAAAGATGGTCGTTTGGGTGGTTTTAACTTGATATTTTGAAAAGCGGAGTATGGAAAATTGACGTGGAGGTGTACCGTGACAAGGGACAGTGGTTTTTTTTCTTATTTGGGAGGTTTTTGTTCTCCTTGAGCTAGGTATATTTACGTACTTCGTCAAATCTTGTTTATCATTAAACAGCCATTTTTGCACGTCAAGTTGTGGAGTTTTTTTTTGAGATTTGTAAACGGCTTGTTAGGATTGGAAATCTGGACAGAAACCCGATGAATTCGTGTTTTGAAAACCGTTTCCAAAAGCGGCTCGCGGAAAATGGGTTCCCCGGTTTTTAAACTGGCTGCCCAACGCCGAGAACTCGTTTTCTATGCCTGTCGATCTTGAATAAACATTCTGTCGGTTTTTGAGGGTATTTCATTAGCTATCGAATATGCCCAACTGCGGGTTATATAGACAATTTTCCAGTTTCAGATATGTTCATGCATGCTTCCCCGAGTCCAGAATTACCCCTTAAATGGAAACTGTTCGGACTGCTCGTTATTACAGTTAAGGTGATGCGAAATTCCAGGTGTTGCCCCGTAAAGAATGAAAGTCGAGGTACATAAATTTTCTGGGGGGAAGAGACATTGAAACTCGGCCTGAATCTGACATCTAATTTTATCTTCAATCCAGCTCGTACTTAGAGCGTCGTGAAGAATAATTTGTTTATAAATAGTAATTTTATTCCAGGGAGAACAGCGGATTTCAAGAATTTCACTTCACACTCTCTTAAATCCACTCCGCGGTGGTTTCTCTTTCGAAAAGGATTTTGAAAACGTCGCAGAAACCTGGGACTTCTTGGCCACCAATCCAAGCATTAACCACAGTCGAGGGTTCTTAGCCTCGGAGATTGCTTGAACGTGGGTCTTACATTAGGTCTCATTATAAAACTCAGCTCGGCTCAACGAGTGACGTGAGTAACGCGACCCATTGTTGAAATGGCCGCTTTTATTCTGACCTTTTGCTAGGTACTTATAAATAAAAAAAGAAAAGATTGCCGTTGAAGGTCTGGAGTACGTTAAAGGATCTGGAGGTCCGTGTAGCAGGAGCTTCGAAAATTTACCGACTAAAAGTATATCGCGAACAGATCATTTCGATTCGGATGAAATTGCGCAGACGCCAAGAGAATAATTCGACAGATGAAAGCAGATATTTTTGTTATTGACAGAAAAAACGATTCAGAGGGAGCGAGACCACCCTTCAAAGCGAAATCGACCTTTTCACAATTTCACGGTTCGACCAATAAGTTTTGTTTGAAGTCTCTTTCAGAACTAATGCTTGAATATTCGACGCATTTTAACCAAAGTATCATTCCACGTGTTTGCAACAGTCAGCTTAATTAATATTCCCTCAAACAAACCTGCGATACGTGCTTGTTTCCTGGGGGTTCAATTTTTTACATCGATACTTTGGATTCTATCCTAACGATTCTTCGTAACGGATAAACTATTAAAAATAATTGATTACAAGCAATTATTCCTGGGGAAAACATCTTTTATACTTTCATAACCGCTCGAAGTATCAGGAACGTTGGAATTTTAATGATTCATTATAAAGACCAGTTTCCACTAACCCTCCCCAAAGTGACATATTATAACTGGCACCCCAAGGTGAATGAAATTCTAAGAAGATCCCCGGGCTTGAATAACTTTTTAGCGAGGGTAAGGAAAAATCGTAAAGTTCGGCGCGTTCATGAAATTTAGATTTCTTGATTCTAGATTATGAAATTCCGCAAGCCGGCCTTCTTATGCGAATCGATCGGTGGACTTCTTTGAACAATGAACTCGAAATGAATTTCTTTGGTCAATGAGCTTCGAGTGAACGTCTTTGAACAATTTCGGCGCTCGATTTGCGAGGCAATAATTAGGCAACCATAAAGAGACGCGTACTTCGTGATCGGAGATAGGATTTGGTAGGATTCGGAGGAATGAACGATTTTGGTTTAGCGAGCCATGATAGGACATGACA